CTCGCATCTTCCCTTGCCCTTTGTGAGTGCCTTGCAATCATGCTCTTCTCTCCCCTCGCGTGCAGCCCCCAGAGTGGTTGGCACCCAGTGTGCCTTGGTGTAGGAACCGCACATTGCGTGCCTGTGCGCTTGCTCTGCCCCCTGCTACCACTCTGCCCCAGTTGGTAACATCCAGCAGGGTGTGGGAGCTGCTGATGGACGAAAGCCAGACCTGCCCTGCGTCCTGCCCCCGCAGCTCATCCCCTTCGCACAGCATTTGTGTCCTGAGCGTTCCCAGCACGGCAAGCGTGGCATCCGACGGGCTGCGATCCAGTCCGTGGAGCTGCACAAAACAAACCGGCTGTGACACCACGACACAGCGCTCGGGCCTCTCCGGCTTGACACCACATCGTTATATATTGATGCCATGACACCAGCGCTCAAAATAGAATCAGGACAATTTGATTTCCTGCAGATCTCAGGATGGGGTCATAAAAACGGAGACTGTTCTGGAGAAATGGGATAGGGTGGAAATGTTTGTAGTGACATCACAGCCAGTTTCATGCCAATGGCCTCCTACTGCTGCAAACATGTGATTGTGATTTTGCTGCACGCTCCATCAGAAAAGTGCCAGACTGGTCGGGAAGGGAGGGAGAGGGAGGGAGGAGAAGGGGCGGAAATATTCTGTTCTTGTGTCTTAATTCAAATATCTGACAATAGCCTTGCAGCCCAGGGTGCTGAGTGATCAGGAGTGGGACCATGTTGCTGAGGCTGCTGCCAGATCAGCAGAGTTGAGAGTGTTGCAGCAACTTAACTGAGGGCTGAATAAGGACCTTTGATTTTATAGTGGAGGGTCTTGATCTGCATTGGTGTGCTTTATTGGAGAGTTGGGTGGTCTTGTTGTGCTCACTCTTCCTCACTACTCCCATTTGCTTCTAACATCATTTTTCTTGGCAAGAAGAATGTACAGGCCTGAAATATGGCTACAAAAGCAACTGCAGAGTTGTTGTCTTTTAGGGGTTCCCATTATAGAAAGGAACAGATCTCAGTGTTGAAGTTTCACCCATGAAGCAGGAAGCAGCAGGAAGGGATTTAAATAGCTTGAGATAGAGACAGAAAGAAGGGAGAAAAGAGAGGAAAGAAACAGAAGTCAACACAGAAAATAAAACTAGCTTGTGCCTGAGGACATTGTAGGAGGAAATCTCATGTCCATTGCTCCAAAGATGGCACTGATTGGTGCAAAGCCCATCTTGGTAGCAAGGTCCTTCCCGAGAAACAGCCAGTGGAGATCAGCCCTGGCTGTGTCCAGCACATGTAACCTTGGGAGGCTGTGGAGAGGAGCAGTATCTGCCGGGGGGACGGGAGAGCAAAGGGATCCAGCTAATGCACCCGTCTATCAGATTAGGCTGTCAAAAACCAAACCACTTCCATCACTGCCCAAGAAGAGACTCTCACTCCCTGCTTAATGGGATGTCGGTCCTGTTGTTGTCACTCCAGGGAGAGGGGCTGCTACCACCACAGTGTGCAGCAGGCTGTGAGTTTAAAATCCTATTAGACAGGGACTAACAGTTGCAAAAAGAAAGCAGGTATCCCCTAGTGGGGATTTAAAGATGTTTAGACGTAATTTAATTTTCCAAGCAGATGTCATTATTGTTAAACAGTTGCCCACTTGATATGTTCAAGTTGTTGGCTGTAATTGCTAAAATTAGCAGGTCTGCATAGAGCAAAGGTCAGTCGGTTAATATCGTGATTTAGTATTTTATGAAGTAATTCCAAATGCTTTTATGTATGTTTTTGTTTTTGCAGCCTAAGCCCACATTAAAGTAGTTGTGGGCCATGCTAATAAAATAATGACTCAGCCTCCCAGCACAGACCGCCAGCCGGGCTCAGCAACGGTGCTCGAGCCACCTTTGGTCCCTGCTCTGCCTGGTGCCGTGGGCCAGCCAGAGCCCCGCGTTTGGGTTTGGAGCTGCAGTCAAACAGGAGGCTTCCAACTGCCCCCCAGTGTGACATCTTCAAGCAGAGCTGGTGCTGGAAATGAGCCCATCAAGTCCAGCAGTGACTGGAAGGATGAGGAGCTGGTGCGCACAAGGGTCTGCCGCGGGTACCCGTGGTCTTCTGAAGTGGATCGACTGCACATGCAAGTGCATGCAAGCGCCTTCAGCCATGAAGACACCTGAAAGACTCACCACCAACCAGGCAAGGTCCCAAAATACAGCATTTTAGAGGGAAGATGCATTTTTGGAAGAGGAACAGAGAACTGGGATTGGGCAAGGCAAAGACTCCCAGTTTGTGCTGTGGCTGGTTGGACATCTGGTGTTGCTTCCTCCGGCACTGCAGCTGCTAAATGGCATGAGAAAAAGCTTTAAAAAACTCCTTGAAGGTGTTGGGGTTTTCCTGGCAGGCTCATTGTGAGTCTGATCCCATGTCCTGGGACAGAAAACGGTTCTCTTCCAAGGCAAGGTTTGCTGGGGTTCACTTACCTTTCTCTATAACAGAGATACAACCCATTCCCAGGGGTGGTTTGGGCACACCTGGCAGATTTCTTGCTATTGCAGGAATGCAGGACTTTGCTAATGCAGTCTGACCTGCTCTTTTACCACCAGACCTTTATGACTGTCTTTTTTTTTTTTTTTTTTTAAATCTCAGACAATAATCTCAGAAAGTGCTGAGAGGCATTTGTGTGGCCTGCACAGGAAGATATGGTAGAGGACCTCCTGGACTTGACACTCACTGGGTAAGCTGGGTCCCTTTCCAATCTGTGTTCCCATATTCCTGCTAGCAGGTTTTGGTATGTGCAGCTGCCAGAGCTGCCCCAGGAACTCTCTGCGGCTGCAAGCAGCAACAGACACACTGACCCAGCGTATGGGAAAAGGAAGAACTTGCTCTTAGGTGCTGCCTTAGACACCGACACAGGAGAGGGAACCGGTGACCCTAGACAGGATAGGTCTAAGACATGTGTGGATTTGCATATCTTGATCTCAGATCAAGAAATATTTTGTGCATACATAAAAATATCCCATTAGAGACAAGACTGAAGAAAAGTTGTAGCACTAGAAAGCTGAAAAGGTTGAGGAGCTGGGAATTCAACTCTGGTCCAGATTTCAAAACATGTTATTTTGATCAAAGACCATTTCAGTTTCCAATCTGAAATGTGCAGTTTGGTTTTTTGTTGATTTTTTTTAATTTGTTTCGTTTTTTTTTTTACCTTGGACTTCCTCTGAAGCAACATAACGTAAATTCAAGAAGCCATCTCTCAAGAACATGGTGTCCACAGAGTATCGGTAGAAACATTTACTTGCGTTTGCTCTGACCAAAATAATACTTTTGTACCAAGCCCCTTAAATCTTTGCAGTTCTCAGAGTCCCAATGCCTGTAGGACTGTGATTCACAAATTGTGGAGAAGCAGTAGACAGGCCTTGTCCCAGCACTGAGGTTTCCCCTGCTCCCATCACTGCTGGCCTCCCTCCATGAACCCAGCATGCAGTTAAGCTTCTACTTGCCTTCAGTGCTGTCTTTTTCTCACTGGGAGAGGGATTTAACAGCCCTTAACATAACAAATACATTCTTGGTCTGTTTTTCCAAGGTGGACATGGCACCAATCGCTAAGGAAGGTGATTTAAGCTACATTTGTCTTTTAAAAAGTAAAAGGCTTTGAATAAAGGGTGGCAGCATTCTGGCTAATTTAACTTATTGCTTAATGTTAGTCCTTTACTAATAACACTACCTCACAGGCTCCTTCAAAGCATGAGAGTCTGTTATTCCCATTTTACAGCAGAGGAAACAGATGCAAAGACCTGCCCAAACACAGGCAGCAATTGCAATCTGGATTAGAGTGAAAATGTCCCTGAAAACTAGTTCCAGTCTCCAGGGAGACATCAGTGGGTAGGGAAAGCTGGGAAACTCAAGGGGATGTAGCGTGGGACCGAAACTAAAAGGCGTGTAAGATTTTAAACGCCCAAGGTGATCTGGCCAAGCAAGAAACAAGGCTCAGCAGTTCATGTCAGCACAGGGGAGGGCGGAAACGTGGGGTCTGCGTTCCTTAGCTCAGTGGAGGACGAAAGCAGTCTGCTGGCAGGCTGTGCAAGAAATGCATTGTGAACTGGCTCTTGCAGCTGTGAGCAAGACAATAAGGATGGTAAAGCACCATCTGAGTCCGCACATCCAGCTTTGCACAAAGAGGGAGCTAAAATCAGCCCCCTGGAATCTGTTGGCTCGTGGTTTGGATTTAGCTCTTTGTGCTTGAACAACTCCAAGCAGAGAGGGAATATAGGTTGTCCCAGTTTAAGAGCCAAATTCACCTTTTCCCTGCTCACTTTCAACCCCTGAGCTACACAGTACTTCCCTCAGGGTCTTTGGTCATAATTTGCAGGGCATTCTCAAGAAAGCCCCAATTTTCTTTTACAGTCTGAGGAATAACAATTTTTTTCCTTCCTTTGGTTTTCCTATGCCATTCCCTCTCCTCTGTGCTCTGCATTTTCCACTAAACCTCACCTACCTTCTTGCCAGTGCACAAAACCTTTTTTTTCAATTAATATGCATCTTCTGATAAACCAAAGGTAGGATATTCTTCACTTATATCTCAGGGTTATGTATGAGGGTCATTCAATACTTTATTCTTTCAGCTATTAGACTTCAACACTGGCATTTCAATGAGTGGGAAAGGGACCTAAAGCTTGTCATAGAGTTCTCCTACCTGTCCATGAACCAGCCTGTCTTCTTTTGCTATATTAATCAACTTGGTCTCTTTAGCAAACCAGCAAGGTTGTTTTCACAGGTATCTATGATACCTATAAGCTGAACAAGCAGTATTTATCACCTTATACAGGCTTAGTAGAGTCCCACTCTTTAGTTTAGCATAACCATATCTTTACCTATGAAGTGCTTGTTACCAACCGTTGAAAAATCTGCATTGTTGTGCCATGAACTCAGCATTTATTAATACTGCTTGCAGTAGCTCCCATCTGTTGAGCTATGAGAGCATGTCCCACAGTTTGCAGTTAATGCTTGAGCTGGCAACATTAAGAATTCAGGATCTCTGTCCCATGGATTTTCACAGACTTTAGCTGGCCATCTTCTTCTACTTCCTTTCTCTCATGCCCATTCTCAAAGATTGGCCAGGTGGTGATTGTCTTGCCATTGATCACTTTAGTATAGCTAACCATTGTTGTGGGACCACATGGCCCAACTGTGGTTTCACTAAAGGTGTAGGCGCAGAGCTTTCTGTGACAATGAATTCCATGGCATAAATGACTCCCTATAGGAAGTACATGGGCTGGAGCTTCCTCCTCTTCTGCTTGTATTGTGCTGGTTTTCACCATTGATTCTGATGTCAAAGGGGTTCCAGAAAATATATGCAAAGGGATCCCTCCCTCCAAAGAACTCTTCTTGATGGGAGAATACATGAGGAGAACCAAAGAAGCCATTGAAACCCTCCGTTGACTCTGCTCTCCTCAACAGACTTGTCATACAGCAATTGCTTCTGAGGGTCAGACAAAACCTTGTGTGCTTCCAAAATTTCTTTAAATTTCTTCTCAGCTTCCTCCTTGTTCCTGGGGTTCTTACTGGACAAGTTCAGCCTGAGGAGCTGAACTTTGATGATCAAGTCCAAGGTTATCCTGCATCTGTTTCTGTTCCCTGAATTTGCCGTTCCTGTGGGAAATACAATATCCTCACAGGGAATCATTGCATGAAGAAGGTCTCCAAAGAAGTGCCAGTAATGAGAACTCATCTGTCTGTAACACAGTGTCATAAACACCTACTAATAGCAGCATGTGTTGCAGATCACTGCCCTCTTTTCCATTATCCCACACTTTGGGAAGGAGTCAAGAGCTGGCCAGACTAAAGAGCATATGTGCAGCGTATGAGCTGGCTGCTGTCCTAACATACATCGTATGTGTGGGGGCCATGAAGGAAAGGGGCACCATGTCAGCCTGGAGAAAACAATGTGACAGAGAGAGGAAGGTGACTGAGCTGATGTGTTGGGGAAGGTCTTTATATTGCTGGTGTTCTCACTGGTCAGTTATGGGCCAGTAGTAGGGAGGTATTTGTCATATTTGGGCAGTAAAAGTTGCTGTAGGGAAATCTGGAGGCTGGAGCTGAAGGAAGCACAAAGTAGCAAAGGAGTTTGTGGTCCTGTGGGCTCGCCTCACTGGGGAGATGTTAGCTTTTGTCTCTTTTGGCACAGAAGAAATTTTCTTAGTTACAGGGTGGTTGTGCTGCATGAATTATTTTTCTGTAGCAAAGGCAAAAGTAATTTGGGCCCAGCAGCAAGCTGCTGCTGCCTATTTCAACTCAGAGAGTTCTTTGCAATCCCAAGGCATCCCAAAGTGGTCTTCTACACTGAGGGGAGAGCTAAGGCTTCATGGCTCACTCACACTGTGGTGCTGTGCTTGAAATCTTCACCAAAGGGACTTGTTTATTTGGGCTAGTGGTTTTTTAAGATTGTCCATTGGACTTGAGGGGGATTCAAGCTTACCACCCACAAGTCCCCAAAAGGTGCCAACAGCTCTTAGCCACTGACAGCATGGTCCATGTGCAGATGCTTGGCAGAAATTTCCAGAGGAATTGCTGTTCCTACTCTCTGTTACCCAGAAGGGAAAATGGGACATCAGCAAAGTCTCTTGGAGAGGGTCCCAGGCCAGTTATCTACTGCAGGGAGTGGGACTGTGCAATGAAGGAAGGAGGTGACTCCACTTTATGCTGTGTCTTTGCAAAGCATCTCCTCCCCTATTTGCTTTTGATGATGAGAGCCCATCTCAGACTGGCTGGCGCACTGGGTTATCTGTCTTGGATTTAGTGCATCCTACCCATCTGAAAAGTAGGGAGTGTTTTTCTCCTGTCATCCCTGAATGGAGGATGCTCACTGCCTGTCTGTCTGCTGCCTGCAGCAGGCGTCAGAGATTAGCAGCCATTCAAGACAGGCCACTGCTGTGAGCAAAAAGGGTTTGCAAGGAAAGAAAGAAAGGAGAGGCAGGGAGAAAGGGAAATGAGACATGCACACACCAAGTAACTAGACCCAAATTATCCTGGCAGTCCCATCCCTAGAAACCAAGGCTTTGAAATGAGAAATGTTTTTCGTATCTTAAATCTCAAGTACAAACAATAAAAACCAGCCCAGACTGTGTTCTTTGAAGAGAAAGTACGAGTGACCTGAACAGTGGTTATCAGCAGCGTCATTAAGATAAACCCTTAACATGATTTAAAGCATCCGAAACTGAAGGCAGCACTTTCAGATACTAACAAAATGGTCTGACATTGGGGATGAAAATCAATAGTAATCTGATGTCACTAAAAATACTCAAAAGTGTCCCATGGCTGATGGAGGTGAGATTAGTGTAAATATTTGTATTCTAATCAGTGGCACGCGAGGGCTGGAGGCGGCCTTTCTGTCTATTTAATTAATGGAGTGGCTTTTTAAAAGGATCCTAATCATATGTGATTGTATCTGCTTATCAACATTTTTGCTAATTAGATGATATGGAGGCAGTCACTCTGCTAATTCCCTCATCCAAACAGCATATCCTGCACAGATAAAGTACAGTCTCTTTTTAATAAGAAACAATCATGAGACAGACTAACCTTAATGGTGCTTATTATCTGAGGATCTTTGGGATTTTCTTTTCTACCCACCCCCTCCTTCCTTTTCCTTCATTTGCTGCTTCAGTATGCCAGATGGATGTGGATGCAGTAGTCCCTGTCCCCCCGGTTCCCTGCTCCAGGCACTGCCACGTCCAGCCTGCTCTTCCCTCCCAGCCAAGCCTTAGGTCTGCAAGGGCAGGGATTGTCAGTCAGGTCAGGATGGGGAGCAAAACACAAGACACCAAGCAGCAAAATGTCCCAAGCTTTTGGTAACCCAGACCACAGATGATCCCAACTCTGCAGCCTCAAACCATGACCTTACTCTTGGCACCCCAATGAGCCCTAGTCCAGAAAGGATTGAGTGCCTCTGAGTTGTGAAAATATTTTTCTATTATTATTTTTTAATTTTTATTTATTACATTAGATATTAGGAAAAATTTCTTCATGGAAAGGACTGTAAATAACTGGAACAGGCTGACGCCTACGGCAGTGGCTGAGTCACTGTCCCTCAAGGTATTTAAAAGCCATGTAGTTGCGGTACTGAGAAACATGGGTTAGTGGTGGTCTTGGCAGCATTGCGTTAACGGTTGTACTCAATGATTTTAAAGGTCTTTTCCAACCTAAACAATTATTATTGTTGTTGTTATTGTTGTTATTATTATGTTTTCTTCTGTTTTAAAAGGGTCTGAGGGCAGAGGGGTTCTACATGAGTGGTTTCTCACCAGCCCCGTTGATTCTGTGACAAGGCCGGGGTCCTTTTATCTAAGCCAAACAAGTCAGAGACATTTGTTCCAAGTTCTTCGACTATCCAAACAAACATGAGTCGTGCTTTGCTCCACCAGTCAAACTGTCATCAGATGCCCCCCTGTGGGGCAGCCCTGTTGGGAGGGGATGCTGTACTCACCCTCAGAGCCGTGTTCCCGAGGAGCACGGTCAGGGATGGGCACATTGGGCCGACCTCCTGCTGGGGCGTGAGAGAGGGACCTGCTTGACTTCAGAACAAGATTGAAAAATAAATAGCAAACTTGCCCTGAAAAATGTCTCCTCACCTCTCAAAATACAAAAGCAATGGCTAGGTAAGGAGAACCTGTCATGAATGTGTGTAGCTGCCATCCCAAGAGTGTCTGGGTGGAGCAGAGGAGAGAGGGATAGGTGCCTGGTGCTTAGTTTTGGGAGGTCAGGAGTTTGCCTGCTGTTTTTGCAGCTGTGAGTGTTGAGCAGAAAAGGTTTAAACGACATGGATTCCCCACTCTATGGGCAGGACAGAGGGTCAGCATGTTCTGTGCGTTGATCCCATGTGTTGAGCTCAGCACAAAGGCTGGCTGTGGGGTGGGAGATGGGGTGGCTCTGTGGAGTGCTGGCTGGGAGGGATGCCCAGATGCTGGGACACAGAGCTGAAAGAAGATCCAGGGAGCTCAGTCTTTATCCCGCTTTTCTGATACTCAGATTGGGATTTGAGACTAAACCAAGGTTCAGGCAAGAAGACAACCAGCTCTTCTGAGTGATGGTGGGGAAGCACAGGAACCTCACAAAACCTCTTTTTTGAGGTATGAAGTCAAAGAGGAGGCCTGGTCTTACTTAGCAGAGTCAATAGTCGGCCTGACATGTTTTTAGTGTTAGATCATTCCCCACACCTGGGGCAAGACCTTGCTCCAGTCTTGGAAAGTCCAAATGCTGCTGTAACTTGTGTCCATGGACTCTGACCCCTGCAGAATTCAGAGCACTTTGGTTTCATTGACAGGTCATCTCCACATGTCATCTGCAGTATCCTCATCCAGACATGGCTATGCTGAAGTTGTACTCAGCAACACGGTTGGCTGGTCCTTCCACCATCTTTGTCATGGTCCCTGGCCCTCCATCCTCTCCATGCTACACCCAGGAATTAATTCAATATTGACCGCTTTCCCAGAGCGGTTTCCCGTTGCTAGTTCCATGACTGAGGGCTACGTCTTGAAAAGAGGAGGGACTTCTGGGCCAAGGATTGCATTGCAAGCCGTTGAGTCCTGGGGCTTAATGAGGCACTGCTTATCAGCAGAGTGTGCTTATCTGGAGCCTGCTGATGGTGTACCTGCTCCAGCCCCATCGTGAGCGAACATGTTTTACCACCCAGTTGCAGGGAGCCGGGAGCATGGTCAGATGGCACAGTTCAGCTGATGTGTGGCAACTCGTGAAGCCGCAGCAACTTTATCACTTCACAACATCCATACATAGCCACAGCCTTGAATCTTCTCAGGGGAAGAAAGGATGATGAGTTACTGTTCTGGGATTTTCTCTCTGTCTCCAGTCAGTGGGAAGTGGTATGTGGAGCATTCATTTAATAAACCAGAGGGGAAAAGCTGTAGATCAGCTTCTCATTATTTCAGTGCTGGCTCACGCCATCACTTGGGCTTGTGCCTGACAGTTCAGTGTGTTATTTGAGGCCACTCAAGCATTCTGCAGAAATGATGCCACCCTCTTCTGAAAGTGTGGGGTTCGTCCAAAGGGGGAGGGCCTGATTCCATTAGTAGCTTTACCAGTGCTAGTTTCATCTCAGTTTTGGGCCTGTTTGTGAAGAAGGTATTCTCTTTGGACACTAGTCCCTGTTGAGAGCCAGCACTCCAGCAGGAAACCTTCTGGAGATAATTTTGCTGATGTGGACCTCTGAAGTAAAGCAACTGTGGGTGGATAAATATGCACCAGTGGTGCTGGTTTGCAGTGGAAGGGGGGAGTCCTAAGTGGTACATAACTTAGGTGAGGGTCCTGGTGATGTGCACATAGATCTGAAGCCCCTTGATTAAAAGAAGCAGTCTCTGTCTCTAGAAGGTAGGAGGGACGGTAATGGGCCATGTAAGTGTTTGTCCTCCAGTATTTGCTAGTGTGTTATACCTACACCCAAGAAGAGGGGCCTGAACAACCCATGTAGCATGTGGGGGACTGATCAATTATGGATTACTTTACTGGGAGTAAAGAAGGGAGAAGAGCCCCTGCTAAAACTGTCAGGAAGCCTGTTCTTCTCCTGGCTATGGGCACCTTATATATGAGGCTGCCAGGAACAGTGAAATTTCCACACTGCCTCAGCAAAGGTTTAGTCCGAGTTTATTGCTGAGATTAGAAGACTGGAGAATA